CATATATATATATACATACATGCATACATATATACATATACATATATGCAAACGCACATTTGGAGACTCCACCTAGATGTATTCCACACCAACACCTTCCACATACCGCCGAGACATCTTCCATGTTATTATAGTTCCACCTGCACTGGTGATAACCTAGAGACCACTTGGGAGGCATCGCCGTAGGGCCAGTGAGTGATATGTACTTCTTAGATACTTCAGCAGGAGAGGCACCCATCATGACATACAGCTCAATGATACCACTTTCAGACACCCATCGAGTACGCTTCACGGCGCCCTGTAGGTGGAGTGGTATTTAAGGTTTTAGGGTTTAGAGTTATACGCTTTAGGTGTGTTGTACACGATTGTGTATAAGTTTATTGCATAGGGTGTGGATGGGATTAATATTGATTATAGTTGTGTTTAATGTACATAACTGTGTATGAATCAGTAGTTACTGTATGTATACTTTTAGTCTCTCTGATCCCCATCGGGTGCGCATGACAACGCCCCTGTAACAGTCAGTGCATTGATTAAAGTTATTATGACATGGAACACACACACACACACACTCACTCACGCATGAAATACACATACACACACACACACAAACACACACACACACACACACAAACACACACACACGCACACGCACACGCACACACTCTCCTCACGCATACAACACACGCACACAAACATACAACAATCACAAAAACGCACACTCACACCCTATATAAAAAATTCATGTGCACAAAACAGCATATGTACCTATATACATAGATACATAGATACGTACATAGATATATACATAGATACAACGATACATACACGCGTAAATGCACACGCCCACACACATAAATACACAGATACACACATATACACACGTCTCAATATAAGCCACATACACTAGCATCCTGGTCGTTTTTGATAGACACCCATGTTTCGGCTGCGTTGAGCCACAGCACACCCACAGTCGCGTCGATGGCATGGGAGATCATGTACGGGACGGCTCCGTAGAGCGCCATGGGGTTATACAATTCGAACTCAAACACATCCAGATTGAACAGACGGTAGGGGTCGCCGTTCCTGTGATAGGGACGTACAGTTGGGATGTTAGTGCGGGGTCTGTCTGTTGAACAAGTTTTGTAGCGGGCTTAGGGTTTGTTGGGAGAGATTGTGTGAGTATGGATTGGGTTTTATAACGGGGTTTTTTTGGGGTAGGGTTTTAGAGTTTACCGAATTCGTACTATAGTGTCAGTACGACTTCGGGTGTTTTTCTTTTTGAAATAGGGATGGTACGGACTCTGTCTGTCTGGCGTGAAATTGGAATATATTCGTTTTTTGTTGAAAATAAGTTTGGTACGGGATTAGTTATTTGCGTACGGCTAACGTACATATCTGTTTAGCCGGATCCTATCGGAGAACCTAAACCCTAAACCCTGACTACAAACCTATACGCACACACGCATAATATAAATATATACATAGTACCGATATGACATATTATAATAGCCTCATCATAACCAAAGCATCTGTATGTTCTCCCAGTTGTCTTCAGAAGACCGAGAGTTATATACATAATATATATACACATACACACACACATATGTATATATATATATGTATATATATTTATACGTACTTACATGCATGCGTATATTTATACATATATGCATACATACATACATGCATACATGCATACATACATGCATACATGCATAAATACATACATACATACATACATGCATGCATACACACACACACACACACACACACACACACATACATACATACATACATACATACATAGACCACCACCCTACACCAAAGGCCTATACATCACGCAGAAAAACTCAGGCCCACAACACCTTTCTACATACGGTTCCGTTCAATTTCATATCGAGCAAAAGTGTCCGTATGTTCCGGTATACTAATCACACAAGCACACACGCTCTCTCAACTTGTCTTCACAACCTACCCCTCAGTATCCTTCAGAGCCAAAGTGTCGGCGTGTTCGGGGATACCATACACGTGGTCTGAGCCTGGGAAGGCTATGTCCATCGCAACGCTCTGGTCTCCGTAAGGCTTGGAATCGGGAAAGTTTTTGAATTGTTCCGATTCGAAGGATTTCATAATCCTTTGGTAGGCTTCGTATGCGACACCAGCAGCTGTGATGGTGATAAGAAATTAGGGTTGGAATATACAATATTGCGATTGGGAACAAGGTGAAAACTTGTGAATGGGAATATATATTCTAAACAAAAAAGGGGTGCCTACAAGAGAAGGTAGTGAAGAGAATCCTATATAATGTCCACCAATCCAATATCAAAGTAACATCTATAAGTAGAATACAAACGTCTGCATGGCGACACCAAGCGTGTTTGAAAATTAGAACTGAAACCCAGCCAAACGCATCCTTCGAGCGAATGAGACCTTGGCTTGGCTAGTCGACTAAAACCGAAAGGAAACCCCCGGTTTATATTCCACTAAATAGAAGTCATATAAGATTCGAAAGCATACCTTCATCCTCATATGCCCCAGCCTCGTTTTTGGCCGGCTCGTCCATGTGTTCCGGTTTAGTTTGCAGCTGCTCGAAGGCTAATTGGTTCATGCTGTGGGGCAGTGATGGAAACCAGGCGCTTATGTGAACACTTCTGATATACATATGCATACATATACATAAAAAAATTGTATATATATATATATATATACGTATTCGTATTTTTGTGTAGAATGGTGCATATCAAAGTGTAAAGACAGAGAGTGAGAGATGAAAGCATGAGGACGATGCATATTTTAATAGTTGTATATATTTCACCTTGACAGATGTGTCGGCAGAGTCTAGCTCCAATGCTTTCGTACTCTGTACCCTTACACGCTCCCCGATCTTACTGGTGTAATTATAGTATCATCATACCATATGTATAGAACAATAGAAAAATCACAATGCTGAAATGTGTAGATACAATGCTATACGTATATGTTTGGACCACAATATAATCCACAATATAATCACGCACGTGTGTGGAATATTGTATATACCTGTGTGTTAGAAAATAGACACACATCTTTGAATGCTACTACATAATACGGATTTGGCTGCAATTCTTCACTTCTATGTATTC